TATGAATAACTTCTGAATGGCACACCCTAGCCCACCCACATTGATTATCAGTTAGCAAATTATTGGAGTTCATTTTTGTTTACACAATTATAGGACGTTATTGTTATATTATTATGGCACACATAGCACACAGTACAAGAGTGCAATGAACATATGACATAGAAATGAGGTATAACCAAGGTGGGAAATCTGTCTTCTACTCTCCTTAAAAGGAGGTCATCTTCCCAATGGCACTTCAACATTCTAATTTTTAATTATAGAACAGTCTCCACATAACATTTTCCAGCCTGTTGATTAAAAAGAAAAAATAACCAAAGAAAACTAAGCTTAGTAATTATAATAAACCTTCTCGGCAGCTTCTGTGACTCTGACAGGCACCGTCTCAACAACATCTTCAACATCCACTTCAGAAATAGGAGCAAACTGTCCTTCATAGTACCTGAGGCGAAATAACCTTAGTAGATTCACTCAAATTATCTCATAGAGACTTTTATCTCAATAATAAGTACTTATGAGTTCCACTGCTACAACGGCAGTAGAATATCTCCCGCATATCACACCAGAAGTTCTGTGTATCTGTGCCCCCAACAAGAGCAGCAGAATGTCTCCCACATATCACATGAGACATACCACATGTATCACTAGAATATTTCCTACATTTCTCGTTTCTTGTACTATTCATAGATGCACAAATGGAAACACTAGAAGGACTCGTGTTCCAAATTCAACTAAAAGCATGAAATTCATATCCCCCATTGCAACTTGCATGTGCATAAGTATTATAAAACTATAGGGCTTTGTAATTGAACTACTTCCCTCTAAATATTCTATCAATTAAAAGTACATTTGATTAAGAGAAGGCAGCATGCAATACATTTTGTTCGAAAGTATTTGAAGCCTGACCGAGGCCTATAAGCTTCAATCTTTTCTGTCAACATGTGAGGAATATGGGGCTAAAGAAATAAATCAAATTTTCTAAACATCTTATGCATCCAAATACACATCCAGATCCAACATGTGATCTACAACCATGTTACAGTGGACAGTAAGTGAACACGAGCATACCTTGTCAATAGTTCCACTGCTTGTGAACCATATCCAATCTGCGATAAACAATAAACAAAGAAGAATAAATTATCATTTCAACAAACCCTGGATAGCATAATCAATTTGGAAACCACGAAAACGAGACTACCTTCATGGCACTTGGATGTGTAGCAATTCGTACAATCCGAGCACCTGACAGACTGGGAAACACAGTGTCCTGAAATTGCTCACAGAATTTCCATGGTATCTGATCACCAAAGGGCTGACGACCGTCGCTTAAACTTTTCTTTGCAGAATTACGAGAAATCTGTCCCTCAAGGCAGACCTAAGAACAAAAGGATGGCACATAAATTTAGAGCATCAAAGAATTGAGTTCTCTTACTATAGGGACAGCTAAAAACCCTTTCGGTGGTAGTCTACGCCTTGATATAAGGGAAAACAGCTAAATATTGACACTAATTGAAACAGTGCAATAGAAAGAAGAGAGAAAGATGAGTAGGGAGAAGTAGGAGAATAGGGTTTCATTATTTTCTATTTCAGGTTTGTCAAAGGAGTTGCACCATGTCTAGCTTATAGAGCTCCTTGACTCACAAGTCAAATCAAATTCCTAAGAAAATCCCTAATCAACTCAATTCCCATCATTACCATTAATCACATCAAATACCTCAAGAAAATCCCTAAAATTATGATTTCCATCAGTCTGCATCACTAATATCAACAAAACTTAAAACGTAACCTACGACTAAATCTGCATCATAAGATACAAAAAGAATTTGAAAATCATAATTGTTCCCTATGATATTAAGATAATTAGACTTTTAAAGTTCAATTGTATGATATGACAATAAAAACAGGCATCTTGGACAGAGTTTCAACTACCCAGCTTTCGGAAAGAGCCATCCTCAACTGAGAGATGGATCTCAGTCTCATGGTAATAAGAAAATGATTAAGCTATGTTGGCAAATTTGGGATACTAGGAATTCTGTTAGCTTTGGTATGATAGGCCTCATCCTAGTAATATTTGGCAACTCGTTTTTCCCATGGAGCCATGGCTGAAGTTTGGGGACTAGGTGGATAGATTGCAATTCACGATCCATGAAATATTTATGGGCAAAAAGGTTTCCAAACCTAACAGAACCACGGAATTTTTTTTATTTATTCTTTTTTTTTTTTTTCTTTTCCTGGAAACGAGACAAATTT